AGAGCAAAACATTCTCTGCATCTTTAATAACAAAATTAAAATTTTATAAATACTATTTCATGTTTAGATGATCATTTAAATTTTTATTAGGTGAACCTGTTAACGTTTAGTTGTAAATATGTAGATTTAGGAAACAAACATACACAAATGGGGGGAACATGCTTTCACAAGTTCTCAGGGCAGGGGCGCAAATCAGTGTGTGGAGACCCCTGCCCGTGACGGGCACCGGGAGGGGCTGTGTCTGCATGCCTAGGGCATGGCACTCTGCTTGGCATGTATTCCACACTTACTATTATTTGCCAAATGAAAAAGCAAAGCCACTCTGGAGTGGCACACGGTGAGAATTTTAGAACTGGAAAAATAAACGGAAAGTAATCTCCTCATTTTCCAACCAGGAGACGGAGGTCTAGGAAGGTTAAGTTGCACAGCTAATGGGAGTATGGTGAAAGAAATGTTTGAGGAAGACTGGTCTGACATAGATCTATGGGATGCTTCAGAGGAGAAAAAGAGGAGAAGCAACAGCCTCTGGTAAGAGACGCCGGTGAGCATCAAAGCCTGCGGTAAGGAGAGCGTGAGGTGGTGATGGGGAGGGAATGAGAAGCAGAGGAGGATCTGAAAGACGTTGAAAATGCATCTCTTGGCACCGCTTTTTCACTGTCAGGAAGATTTAATCTTGACCTATTTCTACACATGCTGGTATCAATCACGATACCCAGATATTTTTATCCACGGCCCCGAACTGCACAAAAAAGACATAATTAGCGATTCTTTTGACTCATCGAGGGCCTCTGAGGATGATTCATGCCTTCTGCTACACAATTATCTACCATAAATATAGATTAACCTCTGTCTATTCCAAGCAATCGCTCTTTATAATGTCCATTCAAATGCTGTTTACTCTATTACTATAGGACTGAGTCCAACCTCCTTCATTTATCTTTTGAGACCCTCCATATTTTTTTCTCCTCCACCTGAGATAGTCAATCTTCGCACCCATTATTCTATAATATCACAGTAAACAATCTTTCAGAATCAGGATAACAGTTTTTGTTTATCTTCCCCACACATGCTAGAATTAAAGATGCAGTTGAGTTAATAACTTCATCTTTTTAACTGGAGATACGATAGAACAAATGCCTTCAATAAGAAGAGCTACGTGATCTCTTTTGTTCAAGACCAGCAACCCAGAGAAAATCAAAGTTTGGTTGTAGGCAGGAGGGAAGATAATTTAGAGAGGCCCATGAGACAGTGGGTAAGAAAGGCCAGGAAGAATGTGGACAGGCAGAAGACAATCTCCAGGCAGAGAGGATCTGAGCTGCAGAGGAGGCCAGGTGGTAGGGATACCAGAGAGGAGGCATGGATACTCCGAAGACAAACATGTAGAGGGATCAAGAGAGCTGACCACTGGTCTATATATTGGTGGAGATTATTGCATGACCCCCCAGAGGCCCTCAAGCCACTCCAAGGTAGCCCTAACCAGCCCTTGGGCCCCAAGCCACCCACTGTATCTACCCCACTCCCAGGCTGTCAACCTGGTACTCCTCCGATCTTGGAGGATTTCCCTATCCAAACACTCTGGCTTCCCGAGTTCCAGACTGAGTCATCTACTTCCCTGGACGCCTTCCTCGATGCTCACACCTACCACCTTCTTCCTCCTTTGCTCAGTACAAAAGTCCACGGCCACCCTGCCCTGTTTAGAAATTCAGGCTTGGTCTCATCAGTGAAAGAAACCCCCCTTGAGCACAGTTTTTCTGCCATAAAACTTTTGTTCCTCCTACCAAAAAAGGAGCACAGAGGAAGTGAATCAAGAATATTTTGAGGACTTCCCTGGCAGTCCAGTGGTTAAGACTCTTGTGCTTCCACTGCAGGGGGTGTGGGTTGGATCCTGGGTTGGGAAACTAAGGTTCCAAGTGCTACACCCCATGCACTCCCACAACCACCACCAAATTTTTTTTAAAAAGAATGATATTTTGAAACAGTGTTTATACTCTGTTTTTCTCCAATTCCCATTTAAAATAGTATAAACCTGATAGCTTTAGCAGCAGGCTTGTATTTGGGGATTGGTATATAAACTACAAGGTTGAAAATACATCCCTGCCAAGGACTTTCTCTACAGCTGGTGAAGAAGAAATGAACAAAGCTGGAGCCTGAAAAGACCAATACATTCAATGTGTTCAGACAAATGTCGGCAGCTGCCAGGGAAGACTGCATACTTAGAATGGTTAGTCGGCTAGAGATCGGCTCTATTATAAGAATGTGTTTCCTCTGCAGAAGAAAAGTTTGAATGCATTAATTCTTAATGAGAATTCTAGAGGTCTGGGCACATAATGAAAAAAAAAAATCATCATCATCATAATCACAAAACACAGTTTTTCAAATAAGTTGAAAGATTTTCAGCAAAAGAAAACAAAAATTAAAAATGAGGTTTTTGTCCTGGAAAATAAATTACACAAAGGGAACAATATATTTCTGTATGTTTGACCCCCAAAGAGTGGAAATTGGCACAACAGAGCTTCATTTGCCCCATTCACTCATCACTCAGTCCCATATTCCTTCACTGAATGTCTAATATGTACTGGACATTGTGCTCTGTTCTGAGGATACAGAAAAATAAGATATCCTCGCCCATGAAGATGTCAAACTATGGCAGAAATACAATGGTTTTAAACACACCAAATGCTCTAATAGGAAGATAAGAGCACTTACTTGGGGCTTGGGGCCATGACTATATAACAGCTTTCATTAAATGTGTAGAGGAACTGTGAATTAGGCAGCACCTTGGAGGCTTCCTTGGTGGCTCAGATGGTGAAAAATCCTCCTGCAATTCAGGAGACCCAGGTTCAATCCCAGAATTGGGAAGATCCCCTGGAGGAGGAAATGGCAACTCCAGTATTCTTGCCTGGAGAACTCCATGGACAGAGGAGCCTGGCAGGCCACAGACCATGAGGTTACAAAAGAGTCAGACATGACTGAGTGACTCTCACTCTCATATACATAACTACATTTTGTAACTGTGGCTCCTGGAAATCAAGCATAAACTTTAGTATATTCAGGATGTACATATATCCTAGAAATCACACAATTACCACTGGACAGAAACAAGCTAGACATCAATGATTCAGAAAAGCATGACATATGCTTTCCTGAGAGCTACCAGAATTAGCAGAAGTGAAAACCAACCCAGAGGTCTGGTAGGAGTCAAGTCAGATAGGGAAGAGCAGAAGGATCCCAGTTAGCCGGGCTAACCTGGATTATGGACTCATCTGGACTCACGGACATTCGGTCAAGCTCATTTGTGATCAGAAGGCGGAAACGAGCCAAATCTTCAAGAGGGTCAGCTGACACATGGGGTGAGTCTGCAGGGCATTTGTCTAGTCACTCCCCTGGATGGCTCAGGCAACGCCCCTGCCCCAACCCCAAACCATGAGACAGTTGTTTACGGCTGAGAAAACTGAGACTTAAGGAGTTTAGGTAATTCATCCCAAATCACAGTGATGATCCCGGCAAAGGCAGGAAGCAAACCCTGTGGTCTGACCCACACAGCTGTGCACTTCTAGTCCCCTCCACTGCCCGCCTTGGGAAAGACGCAGAAAGTGGTTCCAGCAGCTGGAAAAGTGAAGAAGCTCCAACTGCAGATCAATTGAGACAAGCTGGCAAAAGAAGAGGGAGCAAGAACCAAGGGCAGATCATGACAAGAGGATCCAAAGAATTAAGTGGTTACGTTAGATTTAGTGTGGCACTTGTTCTTTGTTTTTGGTTTGGGGTTTGTTTTGCATAACTTCAAGATGGCAGTGATTATGTGATGAGGAATCCTGGCACCTTTGGTTGTGGACTCTAAGTTACTGCATGCCCAAGTAAAGCTTCCGATGGCTCAGGGACATTTCAGAGGCTGAACCAAGTTTATTAAGTAAATCTACTCCCAAAAGTAAAGACCAAAGAATGGAGGATCAGAGACCACAGAACAAAGCCAAGTCATCTGCCTCAGCTAAATCATTTCTTATGAGCAGGGCAATGGCCAGGACTGAGATGTTGCCCCAAGGCTGCCCTTGTACCCAGGGAAACACCTGGGTCCCTGATGAGGGACATGTGAAGTGTGCAGCATCTGAGTCGGGGCCAGGTAGGGTAATACACATCATCAAACACTTTATTCGGAGAGTTTAAATCCAACACTCAGCAAAGAGTGATCGCCTTATTAAAAATTACTTCATCAAAGTTAGACTGCTGGGATGGGTCATGATTTAGCAAAACCTGAAGAGCAGACAAGAATGTAAGGATAAGAAGGATGAAAAAAAGACAGAAGATACTTTTTGGTTTGTTTGTCAGTTTTGCAAGATGAAAAACGTTCTGGAGATGATGGTGGTGTCAGTTGCACAACATGAATGTGCTTGATGCCACCGAACTGTGCGCTAAAAAATAGTTCAGATGGTAGTGGCATACACATTCCACCACAACTGAAAAATACACCTTTTTAAAAGCTTGTTTGACTGCCACAGAGAGACAACAGAACACAATGTTTCTGAGGCCCGAAGGCCTGTGCGGAAGCCTGCAGAGCTTGGGTGGCTTTCTGACTCAGGAGATTCTGGACAGCGGCCGGCAGGAGGTAGAGCCCACTCAGTCCCCATGACCCGCAGGGCACGCCCCTCCGCTCACAGCACCGCCTTGATCACGCCCACCAGGAAGAGGCTCCGTCTCACTGCGGCCACAGCCACCGCGCCGGACCACAGCCCCTCACCCCCGACTCGCGACCCCAGGCCCGGCTGGGTCTGACCGGACGCGCAAGGCCCTCACACGCGTCTCACCGTGTCCCTGCCCCGGAGGCGTGCCCAATCTATCTCGGACACGCCCCGGGCACACCCCGCCCCGTCCCCGCCCACAGCAAGGTGCGCAGGCTCGGGGGCGGGGCGGAGACTGCCTCGGTCTCGCGACACCACTGCCAGGCGCGAGTTTTCGGGACGCCGTGGGAAGCAGCGCGAGCGCCGCCTCGGAGCGCTTCCGCAAAGATGGCGGCGGCGGGCGGTGCGCGGCTGGCTGCCTTGGGCGAAAGGCTGCGGCGGGGTTTCGCTGCCGGCCGACGGGCCTGGCCGGGCCCCGGGCCCGTGGCGGCGGCAGTGGCTGGCGTGGCTGTGGCGGGAGCAGGAGCGGCGTGGTACCACGGCCGCGTGAACGTGGCGGCGCCCCAGGGCAACCTCACCGTCCTGGCTCAGGTACGGGACGGGCCCAGTCCGGCAGCCCCACCACGCCCCTCAGCCCTCGGGCACAAGGAGGGTGGGGATGAGGAGTGGGTGTCTGGGGCGGCCCTGGGGCAGCCGTCTACCCGCGGGGACATGGGGGCGTGTCCGGTGCAGGCCTCCCCGGCCCGCAGGACCGCCAGGTGGTCGACCTGTGCCAGCAGTGAACTCTTTAATAATGAAAGCGTGCGCCCTAAAAGTCGATCGGTTCATCATTGCTGGTTTCGTGGTCAACTGTCAGGAACATTGCTGCATGTCATAAACCTGTGTGCTTCCACGGGCTCTAAGTACCAAGCTAAAGACGTTTCTTCTAAAACTGCCGTGTGTGAAAGTAAAGGTCATTTTCCCTGGTTCCTCATTAATTTTCCACGTAAAACATTTTAAGCTTTGAGAGTAAAGTTTGTGTGTGAATATTTTTGAAAATTAAAAACAGTAATCTTTTTCTGTGGTTAGACTTACATTTTTTCTTTCTAATGGCCTTGAGTTCTGATAGACTCAACAGTCAAGATTCAACAAGAGAGGAAAGCTGGCCTTGTGACTTAAAACTAAATATTGACAGTATTTTTACTTGTATTAAATTAAGATGCCACAAAGTGAATACGTGCAATAACTCTTCCCCCATCCTCATACCATTTCTGATCCCAGGAGGAAGAATCTTAACAGCGTTTTGTAGCATTTTTGTTCATCCTGTGTCAAGCAGTTCAGTTTACTGTTTTATCTTTGGTTTCTCTGCTTCTGTTTCATCCCTTTAGTTCATCCTGTTTAGTTAATCTTCCCAAGAGTGTCATTTTAACCACATCTTGTACCCTTCTTTAGAAACCATTAGTGCCTCATGCTCCTAGGATAAAATCCACATTTTTAAGTTTCGTTATTCTGAGCTCTCTGTAGTCACAGTATGACATCGAGCTTTACCTGCCTGCTTCCTCCGTCCTTGAAACAAGGGGCCTGTCCATCCCTCTGCTGCCCCGACTGCTGCTCTGCCAGCCACACCACCACCACCAATTTGGAGTCACTTGTGCACAGTATAGAACTACTGAGCTACACATGCTTTTGACACAGCAGTATGTATTATATAATTATTTTACTTAGTATGGCGAGGTGGTAATTCTTAACATAGTTTTTTTTTTAACATGGTTTTAATAGTAGTCATGATGTCCTTCATTTCTAGTCATCACATTAAGTGATTTCTCCAAAAAAGTGAATTTATATCCATTTGCTCATGCACTTCTCCGGTTTCCATTGTGACCCGTGCTTGCAGTTGTGAGGGTTAGTCAGGAATTCAGGCTTGAATTCGAGGTCATGAAATAGCAGATAGATTGGAATTTCCCTTCTTTCTTCTTTCCACAGTTCTTGAAGTGCTGCTTCTGTGCCAGGCAGAATGCAAAGAGCTGGGAATTCAAGACACATTTCAAGTGCTCACAGTTTAATGCAGGGGGGAACTTTAAGAACTTTAATACAGGGTGCTACTGCTAAGTCACTTCAGTTGTGTCCGACTCTGTGCGACCCCTTAGATGGCAGCCCACCAGGCTCCGCCATCCCTGGGAGTCTCCAGGCAAGAATACTGGAGTTGGCTGCCGTTTCCTTCTCCAGTGCATGAAAGTGAAAAGTGAAAGTGAAGTCGCTCAGTTCTCTCTGACTCTTCGAGACCCCATGGACTGCAGCCCACCAGGCTCCTCTGCCCATGGGATTTTCCAGGCAAGAGTACTGGAGTGGATTGCTATTGCCTTCTCCATTAATACAGGGTGAGGAGGTGATAAATGCTGGTGCTCTGGGGGCATCTGGAAGAGCCCCGCACACAAGCCTGGTGTCCTGAAGTGGTGACCTGTGGGATGAAGAGAGTTCGCAGGGCAGGGAGAAGGTGGTAAGCATTGCAGGCACGGGGACAGCATTGCCGCGGTCTGGAGAGAAGGATTGGACTGGTAAGACCTGGGCTGTAGAAGATGAGGTTCAGAACCAGTGGTAGGGTATCAGGTCAGAAAAAAGTTTTTATCTAGAGGATAGCAGGCAGCCATCCTAGAGATTCCTAACCTTCATGGTCAGAAACGGTCCCCGGAGGATACAGGCCTAGAATTCAGGGAATCTGTAGCTTCCCTGATGGCTCAGACATTAAAGAATCTGCCCGCCATGCGGGAGACACGGGTTCAATCTGAGGGTCAAAAAGATCTCCTGGAGAAGGAAATGGCAACCCACTCCAGTATTCTTACCTGGAAAATCCCATGGACAGAGAAGCCTGGAGTGCTGCAGTCCTTGGGGTCACAAAGAGTCGGACTCGACTAAAGCAACTTAGCACATGCACTTAAATAGAAAAAGATGACATTTTTGTTTTCAGTGACCTATAAACTTAACATTTTATTAAATTGTGAGTGTAGGCAACTAGCTGCAGAAGTATTAACGGTAGCTGTCATCAAGAGCAATCTCAGATATTTTCCTATTCTGATACCATTGTTACAGATATCTCAACATAACACTCTGAAATTAGAGGGCTTATTCAGCCTGCCACTGTCTCATGTTATTTAATGCATAAATCAAGAATTACGCATATTGCAAGTTTGGCTTTCACCTTTGGAAAAAAGAATATGGAGACTTTTTTCAAGGGAGTGAATTGAAAGCGAGATCAGAAACTTGCAGTAATTCAGGAGAGAGTTGGTGATGGCTCAATTAGTGGATGAATTGGAAAGACGTTTAAAGATAAATTTGCAGAGTCTGAGTTGCTGGAATCTTGCATAAAATGTAATTGTTTCAGAAAATAATACAGGTTCACTACCCCCCCCCCCCCCCC